CTGTTCTTTAACCTTTCATCTCCCCAAGACTGTTGTGCTTTGCTGGGGATTCCCCTTCTAGTACCAGTATCCACAAAATGCCTCAAGGCAGAAAGCCAGTGGGATAGTAGGCCTCACCTCACTGGCTTCCTTTCACTCAGGGCTAACAATCTTGTCCTGTCTGCTGTCCAACATGTGAAAACAGCTGTTTTCACATTTGCCCAGAGTTTGAATTGTTAATTGTGGGAGGATTAATCCAGTTCCAATTATTCTATCATGGCTGGAGAGCAGTGGTGCAATCACAGCTCACTGCAAACTTGAATTCTTGGCCTCAAGCAATCCTTCTGCCTCAGACTCCCAAAATGCTGGGATTATAGGCATGAGCCACCACGTCTGGCCCAAAGCCCCTTTTAATAAAGTTTCCAGCATAGATGCCATGTTTTACAATATTTCATCTACCATAATAACCCAATCCATATGTGCCTTCTATCCTTCCATCTATCTATTCAGTAGCTGCTAGATCCTTGGAAAAGAAAGATGAATAAAACTCAATTATTGCTCCCCCAAAAGACTCACAAGTAAAAGGGAAATGGGTAATAAATCAGTACAATTAAACAAGGTACACAAGGGGCTGTGGGGACAGAGAAAGATATGGTCAAATCTATGTGAAGGTCAGAAAAGATTCTGTGTGTGTACGTGTGTGTGTGTGTGTGTGTGCATGTGTTTGTGTGTGTGTGATTAAATACTTGAGAGCAGGTCTTGAAGAGTGAGTAAGAGATTAATAGATGAGGTAAGACATTGGGACAAAAGAAATGCTGTACACAAAGTATGAAGTTATGAAACAACATGTAAATTTGGGACAACCGTTAACAGTTCTAAAAACCTACAGTACAGAGTTTAAAGCAGGGAGGGGAGAGAAATACAGCTATGGAAAAACAAAAACAGGGGGATATCATGAAGGAGGCCTGAATGCCATGCTGATCATAATTCACAACCGTAATTCATCATCATCAGCTACTGTCGATTGTGCTGATAGATGTTTTAAATATATTATATATATTACATTTAATTCTCAAACAACCTTATACGGAAATTAAGGCTTAGGGAGCTGAAGTAATTTTGCCCAAGATCACACGGACATGAAGTGAGGAAGTCAGGATGTGAAAACAGGTCTGTTTGATTTCAAAGCCAACAAAGGGAAGGTGCCTTGAATCTCTAGGTAATGGGAAGTTATAGGAGATTTTTTTTGTCCTTAAATGTTTTTTTGAAAAATTACATTCACTGATGGAATAATTTTAGGTAGGTGGGAAATGGAGTTTATGTTTTTAGAAAGGTCACTCTGGGGCATGAGGAGAAAAGATTGGAGGGATGAGGCTGGAGTCAATGAACCAGTCTTGAGTCTGCTGGTAATAATGCAGGAGGAAAATAAAAGCTTAGATTAGGTGGTGTTTAGGAGGGATGAGGAAGAGGATGTGGATTTACCAAATGCTTAAGAAGCAGAATCTGTCAGAGTAAACACACAGCTTTGGCAAAAGGGGAGACTTTAAGGTCAATGATGGATAGGCTGATACACTAAAATTACCAGGTCCTATGCTAAATGCAGGGCACACAAAGACAGGCAGGACATGATTTCTCCTCTTGATAGCTCATGTAGCATCACAGAATCAAAGCTGTGAATTCCACTGAAATACAATAAATACCTTACAGACCACATCCCCCCATTACAATCTTCAGAATCCTTAACGAGAGGCCCAGGCTGGAAACCACTGCTGTAGAACATTCTCAATCCTGTTACAAACCAGCCTGCATAGAGGAGGTCCCATTTGTGCAGGCTGAGACTGTCAGGACATGGAGGTTATTAACTGTCCTCCAACCTTGCCTATAATTATCAACAACAATTTTATTAAAAACAAATGCAGGTACCATTTCTTGAACACTGACGACATGCAAGCCCTGTGCCAGGCATTTGATAATCATTACCATAACTGTTTGCCATAATAATCCTGAGAGCAGGCCTGGTACTCCTCTTTTAATGTGGAAAACTGAGGCTCAAAGAGGGAAAATAACTCACCCAAGTTACTTTGATTCCCCGAGGCTACCTTACTTGTCATTTAAAAGGCATCTTGGAATTTGCCATCTTCAGAAAGACTCCATTATCCTCCCCAAAATTTTGTTACTCTGTCTCCTGGGCCCTTCTGTGCCCGATTCCTATTTCCCTGTGGTCCCTATTATGCTACACTGTAATGGATATGTAATTGACATATCTGTTTCCCTTACTGACATATAGTCTTTGAAGATCTGCTTTCTCTTTGCTGCTCAGTGCCAGCACAGGGTCAGAGCAGTGCAGGTGGGACCAGTCAGTCCACTCCATGGTTTCTGAGCTGCCAGTCACTCATCTCATGCTGCCACAGGGCCCTTGGCCATTTCCTGCACCTGACAGACCTCAGGTTCACTTCCCACATTCACTAGGCAGTTGCCAGGTCCATGCCTAAGATATCCATGGCTTCAAGAGGTACTCGTCCACTGAAGGGAAACAGGGATGGGAGCCTCACATTCCTTGGACCAAAAGAACTCAAATTATAGCTAGTAGGCCCTAGGGTACCAACCATGTACTCTGTCCTGACGTGATTCTCACACCTTACAGGTCCTCCTGCCTGTCTCACACTTTAATTTTTCCTAAGTTCTGTCGTCTCTTGCTGCCTCAGAGGGAGGCAGGATACACAGAGTAGAGGCAGCACAGACTGGGGGTCCAATCTCAGCCGTGCCCCTAATCACCTACAGGATTTAAGGCAAGGCACATGCTCTCTGAGGTTCTCTCCTCTCTGTAGAAGGGAGAGATCACCTGTTCCACAGGGCTGCAATACTGTCACTCCGGATGAATGACATCCTAAATGCAGAAGACACCTAATAGGGCAAAGGGGCCACGTGGGCTCTGTAGACCCACAGGGTTGAGTTCACACCTTGGCTCCACCTCTCTCTAGCTCTGTGGGTCAAGCAGGAGTAAGGAAAAGACCATCCTCAGAGTGGCATGAAGAGTAAATGAGAGGTCAATGACGGGAGCTCAGTGCAATAAGCCAGTGAATGGCAGCCACTGTTGAATTATAAGTGGAGCACTGCTGTAGGGTACAAATGACTCCCCCAAAATCTCACAGTGAGTTAGGTGTAGAGAAGTTTGAAATACTGTTATGGCTGGGCACAGTGGCTCATGCTTGTAATCCCAGCACTTTGGGAGGCTGAGATGGGCAGATTGCTTGAGCTCAGGAGTATGAGACCAGCCTGGGCAACACAGCAAGACTCTGTCTCTACAAAAAGTAGCTGGGCATGATGGCATGTGCCTATAGTCCCAGCTACTTGGGAGAATGAGGTAGGAGGATTGATTGAGCCCACGAGGCAGAGGCTGTAGTGAGCTAAGATAGTGCACCGCACTCCAGCCTGGGTGACAGAGCCAGATGCTGTTTCAAAAAAAAAAAAAAAAAGGAAAGAAATTATCCTGCAAGACATTCATCAACAAACAGCAATCCTTTCAGAACAGCTACCCACAGGGTGCCACTGGGGTTCCTGGCAGTGATGGTGCATCAATGCCCACCAGGTAAAACACTCCCCCGACCAGGACATACATGAGCACCACATGGCCAGGAACAACAACCCCTTTCACTCTGGAAGTCAGGATAATTCTACAGATCTTCTTGCAGGCAGAGCTATGGAGGTCAAAGCAGAAACGATAAAACCATACTTGCTGGTGAGGCCCAATCCTCACCGGCATGGACAAGGGGAGAATGGGTCTACCTCACACAGTTGCCTACAGGGCTGCTCCAAGTAGCAACAGGAGACAGGTATATAGGCAGATGTTAGTGTGGCAAATGTGGCAGCCAATTACTTTTTGCTCAATAGAACCCACATTCTGTGTAGACCTGAGGCAACAAAGTGTGACGCACAGCTACACTGAGAGCACTGGCACCTGACACTCGACTATGCGGGGAAAAGGCTGTTTGATGATGGTCTAGGAAAAAAATGTAGGTTTGAAGTACCCCAAATTGTTCACACTGAAAACCCCGTCAGCTGCCTTCTGTGGTGTTACTCGGAGGGAGCTGTCCTGATCTCTAGAGGTGGCAATGTGCTGGGGAGAGGTAGCGAGACCCTCAGACTCCCACAGAAAGAGGAGAGGTCTAGACGCTAAAGTCACTTCAGTCTTTCTTACAAAAGTTCAAGAGCAAAATAGACTCAAAAAGTAAACCACCTTATAACTTTCTTTTTTTTTTTTTTTTTTTTTTTTTTGAGATGGAGTCTTGCTCTGTCACCGAGACTGGAGGGCAGTGGAGCGATCTCAGCTCACTGCAACCTCCACCTCCCGGGTTCAAGCAATTCTCCTGCCTCAGCCTCCTGAGTAGTTGGGACTACAGGCACGTGCCACTACGCCCAGCTAATTTTTTGTATTTTTAGTAGAGACGGGGTTTCACCATGTTAGCCAGGATGGTCTCGCTCTCCTGAACTCATGATCCGCCACATCGGCCTCCCAAAGTGCTGGGATTACAGGCGTGGGCCCTAACTTTCTATCTTTTTTTTCCGAGACGGAGTCAGTCTCACTCTGTCACCCAGGCTGGAGTGCAATGGCACAATCTCAGCTCAATGCAAGCTCCACCTCCCGGGTTCAAGTGATTCTCCTGCCTCAGCCTCCCGAGTAGCTGGGATTACAGGCATGTGCCACCATGCCTGGCTAATTTTTGTATTTTCAGTAGAGACAGGGTTTCACCATGTTGACCAGGCTGGTCTTGAACTCCTGACCTCAAGTGATCCACCCGCCTCGGCCTCCCAAAGTGCTGGGATTACAGGTGTGAGCCCCCGCGCCTGGTCACCTTCTAACTTTCTACACTGAGACAAAGGTTTCAATGGAGAAACAAACTGCAGTTCTCAGGTCACAGGAAAACCTTGGCTATTTCCTCTCCTTCCGCATTTCCCAAAGTCACATTCATTTCTTTGCAGGAGCTCACAGAAGTTAGATCCTCGCGAGCTCAGATACCTACCACATCGTTTGGGAGGCTCTGGAGGTCATCGAAGGGGGTTTCCAGGGTGTTGGTGTCCACATTCAGGATCACGACATCATCCAGGGCCATGTTTCTGACTTTCTGCAAGGAGAAAAAAATCCAGAAGAGAAGGTCATTGAGGTGTCATCAAGACACACTTCCCCTGCCTTCTCTGGGGAAGAGACATAGAGAAGAAAAGTGACATTTGCCAAAGTCTTACTCTGCAGCAGGCCCAATGGTAGGAGGTTCACGTTTGTTAGCTCACTGAACTCTCATAAAATCTCTGTGAGCTTGCATGATTATCCCCAAGTACCAGGAGTGAAAAGGGTTCACAGAGGCTCAGTAACATGCCCCAGGTCACACAGCCAGAAAGAAAGAGGGATCATTACATCCCATCATCATTTTTCCCCTATACATTTAACAGACGCTGAGGTCAAAAGCTCTGGCCCCAGGAATGCTGATATATGGCTATGTTCTCGTGATATCCCCATTCAATCCAGCCCCCTAATTTAACAAAGGCTACTTGCCCATCTCTCTTTTGGATCCTGTCATTCTTGGGTATGGAATATTGTGTGTGGCCTACTGTTAACACTTCCCTTAAATGCCAAGTAGGAAGGTCACACTTTCAGTTTGGTTCAATTTTCCACAGATATCCAGCTAGTAATGGCTCAGAAGCTCTGGCCATAAGCCATTATTCTATTGGCACAGTAATAGAAAAGATGAAGGAAACTCATGCCTACAAGGTTTTCATGATTGGTGACAGGAGAAGGGATGAACGGACAATATGGAGAAAAAAAGAATCCTCCCCGCAATCTGGCAGCAATTCCCCATAGCCTGTGTGAGTCCAAGACAGGGTGTAGCCTGAGTTTCAAATTTTTAATCACACTACTTATCCACTACTAAGAATCCATCTTTGTGTTTCTCCTGCCTACCCGCCACTCCTGGTCCCATTCAATCCTCCCTCCCCATTACATATCAAGCACATTCCTTTTGAGTCAGAGGCTTTAGAACTATTGTCTTTATTTTATTTTGCATAGAAAGATCCTATCATTTGCTGTCTAAACTGGGATACATTTGGATGTGAAAGACCTCATCTTACACCAGGGCAACAGGCACACAATGGGACCCGTGGTCACTGCATATAAAGGATCAATTCCATTACTGGTCAACCTCTGAGCACGCTGCACATGGCTGTGCAGGTAGGCACTCCTCAGATGCCAACCACCTAAGCTAGGACTGAAATCTGCCAACCCACGTGCCTGCTGACTGGCACCAGTCAGGGAAAGGGGGCAGATGCCTTTTCCTAATTCACCCCAGAACATGGTGTAGGCTGGCAATGGAGGCAGACATCCAATGGTTGCTCAAGCTCCAGTTTCCAATGCCCTGGAAATGGACAAGTAGCATATACTAGAAGCTTCCTAGCTCTTGCTCTGTGCTTCACTCACCTTATTTCATTGAATTCTTACCAACCCCTGTAAAGTGGATGTTATTGCCCTCAATGTTCAAAACTTGAGGAAGATGAAGTTCAGAGCACTGAGGTAAGAGGCAGAAGAAACCACAGGACCGGCTGCCTCCCCAGGCCATGCTCTCTGCACTGCACCATCCACCTCCTCATCGTCAGACACCCGCAGGGAGACTGACCTCCACACAGCCCTTGTCACTCTGAGCCCCAGCACCTCTCTGCCTCCCCTGTTGGGGTGTGGGCTCCTTCAGGGGCTCATCTGTGGCTCACCACTGCAAAATAACCAGCCCCTGACAACATGACTGACACCTGGTAAGTGCACATTAATATGGTTGACATTCACTCTCTTAAATCCCAGCCTCTAGGGCAGAACATGGTACCTAAGTAAACATTTCAAGATTCTTCCCAGCAGGAGGGTGGAGCCACGCTGGTCACAAGCCTCGTAGGGTTGAAAAAACACTCCCAGGCAGCAGAATCCTGGAACCTTTTCACTTAACACCATCAGAGCCTCCAACTCCTGCTATCCACTAACTTCTCCAGGCCTCTGGGGCTCATCCACAAACCTATCCATCAATTTCTAAGTGCTTACTATGGGCTGAGAACCACAGAGGAGGGACACAATTGCTGATGTAGGAGTTTATTCTTTCCTCCAAACCCCAACACCCATTATTACCTGCTGCCTTATTTATAGGGTAAAAAGATATCAGTGAATGGAGAACTTTGATCATATTAGGTTGGTACAAAAGTAATTGCAGTTTTTACCAAAGTAACGGCAGAGAGTAATTACTTTTGCACCAACCTAATGATACGAAAAACAAGTTCGTATTTTACAGCGCTTTTGTTATTTGAAGCATAATCTCCATTTTACACAGGAGAACACTGAGATTCACAGGGGATTGTCCAGGACTCCCTAGCTGCCTCACTCTGCAACCCAACAGGTCAAATGCCCAGCAGTGTGCTAGCAGGAAGGTACCAAAATAGCATCAACGGTCCTCCTTTTCACTGATGTCACACCTCAGGCTCACAGAGCACTGCCACACAGATGCTTTCATTCCATCCATGGGGCTGGAGTGAGATATCATTATCCCCATTTCATAGATGAGTAACTGAGGCTCCAAGAAGTAGCTTGCCCAAGGTGATGTATCTACTAATTGGCTTTGTCTGTAAAATTAAAATGCTAACTGTGGCCACCCTACTTCTCTCACTTCCCCCAGGGCTGCTGTGATGAGAGCAAACACACCCATAATGCTGGCCACACAGTAGGATGTAATAAATAGTGGCTATTATTACTACTTTTATAATACACACAATAGCCACAGTCAGTCCGGAAGGCTGTAGTGGCAATGGCCTGAGGGCAAAAATCCTTGGGGCCCCTTCTTGCTTGGTCTCTCACTTCAAAGGCTGCCCACAGTCACAGGAAACAGAATCAGAGAAGGACTTACAACATCCTGAAGGACGCACCCGCCTCCAGGACAGAGCAGAGGGCTGTGCACCCCAGAATCAACTACTTTGCCTCCTCTGACCTTCCAAACAGCCCCAAACAGAAGGCAGCAGATGATGGCCATTGGAGAGAAGCCTCCAGGGCTGAAAGGCCCCGTGAATGGGATGTTGATTCTGGACCAGAATCAGGCCTTGTTTCTGCGTTCCCACTGGGCCCCAGCAGCACAGACCAGCCCTTGTAGGCTCTCCACCGCTGGGCTGGAATAGGCTTTTGATTTCTTCCCACTCCTGGCTGGAGGACTTGTCGGTTAAGCTGTGTGGAGTGTTTACTTTTTCAACAATGGCAGTAGGCTGAAGAATAGGAAAAAACCTGGCCCCTTTTTCTAACTTAGCAGGCCAGGGTCCCCTTAGTAACCAAAATGCCCCAAGCACCAGGCTCCAGGCAGGAGCTGGGGCGGCACAGTTTCCTCTTGAAGGACAATGCTGCCCTCCTGGTGGCAAGGCCTCTTCCAAAAGGGCTGGCGTGGACTCAAGGGCCTTCCTGAAGCTCACTGTTCCCAAGGAAAGAATTGGAGCCCAGCTCGCCGGACAGTGCCCAGTCCCCCAAAGGATCAAGGCAACCAGGGGAATGAAGAAAGGCAAGAAACACTCAAACTGGGGGTGGGGACGGGAAGCGCGGATGAGGAAGGAAGCCAGACCATCGCCAGGTGCCAGAGCCTCTCATCTTAACCACGCCGTCAGTCAGGGACACTAGCATCTCCACATGGGAACCAAGTGGGGGTGCAGAGAGATCAAACAAGCTGCCCAAAGTCAGAGCTAGGGAGCGGCAGTCAACTTTTGAACGCAGTCTGACCCCAAAGCTGACTTTCTTCTGAAGATAGCCCTAATCCGATCACTCAGACATCAGAATGAGTATCTATCTGTTCAGGACACAGTTATATTAACATGTTCAGAGTCTGCTTTCTCTTACATAAAATACTACTTTCCTTTTTATCATAAAAGATAGGATGGGTGCGGTGGCTCACGCCCGTAATCTCAGCACTTTGGGAGGCCGAGACGGGCAGATCATGAAGTCGGGAGACTGAGACCATCCTGGCTAACACGGTGAAACCCCATCTCTACTAAAAATACAAAAAAATTAGTCGGGCGTATTGGCGGGCACCTGTAGTCCCAGCTACTCAGGAGGCTGAGGCAGGAGAATGGCATGAAACAGGAGGCGGAGCTTGCAGTGAGCCAAGATCGCTCCACTGCACTCCATCCTGGGTGACCAAGTGAGGCTCCATCTCAAAAAAAAAAAAAAAAAATTATAGATGCCTACTATTAAAAAAATGGGAAAGGCCGGGTATGATGTCTCATGCTTGTAATCTCAGCACTTTGGGAGGCTGAGGCAGGTGGATCACCTGAGGTCTAGAGTTCAAGACCAGCCTGGCCAACATGACAAAACCCTGTCTCTACTAAAAATACAAAAAATTACCCAGGTGTGGTGGTGGGTGCATGTAATCCCAGTTACTTGGGAGGCTGAGGCAGGAGAATCGCTTGGACCTGGGAGGCAGAGGTTGCAGTGAGCTGAGATGGTGCCACTGCACTCCAGCCTGGGTGACAAGAGTGAAACTCTCTGTCTAAAAAAAAAAAAAAAGGGGGAAAGACAGAAAAGTTTAAAGAAGAAAATTACAGTTACCCCAGTCCCTCCATTGGAGACAATGTTTTGGTCTATTTCCTTCCATATTCTCCCTTTCCTATGTGTTAAAGCAAAGTTGAAATAATTCTTTTTTTCTTTTTTTTTTTTTAAGATGGAGTCTCACTCTGTTGCCAAGCTGGAGTGTAGTGGCATGATCTTGGCTCACTGCAACCTCTGCCTCCTGGGTTCAAGCTATTCTCATGCCTCTGCCTCCCGAGTAGCTGGGATTACAGGCATGCGCCACCACACCCAGCTAATTTTTGTATTTTTACTAGAGACGGGGTTTCACCATGTTGGCCAAAAATGGTCTCCATCTCCTGACCTCGTGATCCACCCATCTCGGCCTCCCAAAGTGCTGGGATGGCAGGTGTGAGCCACTGTGTTTGGCCAGTTGAAATAATTCTTAACACTTCTGGTTTTCTCACTGATTCTGATATAAGCAGTGATCCACTTCATTAAGAACTTTGTGTAGATCATTACTAATTGTGACAGCGTACCCTACTACATGGAAACAAACTCAAC